TTCTCTCAAGTGATTGCAGGCTTTCTCCTGGTGAATACAAGCTACACATCATTCTTTGTCCCCCTCCTTCTTGCAATTGGTCTGGGCTGCCTTCTCTGTGTTCTGGATACAGAGGATGTATGTTTCCAACCGGGTGTCTCTCAAGGAGTGCCTGCTTCACTCATATTGCTTACAGAATAAATCACACAGCCAGGCACAGTGGCTCACACCTGTAATCCCAGCACTTTGGGAGGCTGAGGCAGATGGATCACCTGAGGTCAGGGGTTTGAAACCAGCCTATCTAACACGGTGAAATGCTGTCTCTACTAAAAATACAAAAGTTAGCTGGGCATGGTTGTGGGTGCCTGTAATCCCAGTTACTCGGGAGACTGAGACAGGAGAATCACTTGAACCTGGGAGGCGGAAGTTGTAGTGAGCCGAGATCACGCCATTGCACTCCAGCCTGGGCAACAAGAGTGAAACTCCATCTCTAAATAAATAAATAGATAAATCGCATACAACTAGATACTGGCTAACACCATCTTCTTGGGTTAATTTGTGGTTTAAAGCAGGAGTCAGTGAATTAGAGCCTGTGGCTGCCTGTTTTTGTATGACTCTCCCACTAAGAATGGTTTTCACATTTTTAAATGTTCCTTAAGGGATACAAGAAAATTATATGAAATTAAAACTTCAGTGTCCCTAAATTTTTGTTGTAACACAGCCACTTATTCGTTCACCTATATAAGTATGATATATATATATATATGTGTGTGTGAGATGTGTGTGTGTGTGTGTGTGTGTGTGTATAGCTGCTTTCCTGCTAAAATGGTGGAATTGAGTAGTTATGACCAAGACCACAGGGCCCATCAAGTCTAAAATATTTACTATCTGGCCTTTTATAGAAAATGTTTTCAAACTCTGGCTTAGAAGGGAGGGCCTTAATGCTTTATGTCCTATTAAATGGGTTGGCATCTTCAAGGCAGGAGGCTGAAGGAGCATCCAAATAAAATGCTGCATTCATGCCAATGAATCTGATAGGAAAGTTTCTTGGACACACTGGCAAAAAGAGCCTCAAAGTGTTCATAAGTAGATCAAATGAGGGGAAAAAAGAACAACCAAGGGAAACAAAACCACCGCAGCCTTCACAAAGCTATGGATGTGATCAAGCATGGATGAATTGTCAGAAATATCCTTAGGCAAAAAGGTTGAAAAATATTTTATGTTCACAGAAATTGGGTTGAGTTTAAGCACACGGAAGTGGTTTCAGACAAGGGATTGGGTAAGGGGTTACAGCTGACAGACCCCAGACCCTAGAGTCTGGGTCTAGGATTGTGGAAGGTAAAGATTTCTGCAGCCAGATGGGCCAAGGAGAACGGCCTTTGAGTGTCCTTCAGAAAGCACCCATCAGAAATGAGGTCTAAAGGACACTGGGCTGGGTGCCCAGCTTCCCTAGACTGTGGAGTGCCTGGTGCCCCTTCCTCATGGTGCCACAGACAGGTCAGGAGAAGTGAGGGAAGGCTCCCTCTCAGCCTTTGGAGAATCCAGACAAATCTAGTTTGAATCTAAATATGGATGGAGGCTAGTGAACCCCCACACTCTTCTCTGTCGCCTCCACCTGCCCCATCTGCTGAAAAGAAGGCTGCCAAGGAGAGGGCAGGTGGATGGGGTCTGCCTGCCTTGGCAACCTCACCTAATGATAGTTCACACTCATGGATTGCCCACTCTAGGCCTAAACTTCGGATAGTTTGGGGAGAGGTAATTTGCTTAAGGAACCAGAAGCCTTCTGGGAAAGGAGCCAAGACCCCAGCTCTTGAAACTCAGGGTGAGCCAGGGGTCAGATGATCAAGGCCTAAGAGCAGGCCAGAAAGAGCAAGGGTCTCCATCCCTACTGAACCTTTCAGCCTTCACCTTTGTTGCTATGGCTGTCTTCTAGCGCTTTTCACCGTGATAACAGGAAACAGGAGGCCTGCAAGTTTTATGTCTGCAAAATGCCATAGCCCTTTGTGGGAGTTATTTCATTAAATCTTCCAAAATGGCCTCATGAGAAAAGTATTATAATCATTTTATAACTGCAAAAACTGATGCTTGGAGCAGTTAAGTTTCCTGCTCAAGATTACTCAGCAGTTACGAAGCACAGACAGGTATGAGGACCCCCAAAGCCCAGCTCTCAGCATCCTTAACCCCAGTATACTGACTCTGGCACGTTTATTATACTTTTGTGTTCCTTGCTTATCCTTGTATCTCTTTCTAAGTTGATTCAATGTTGAGACCATGAGCCATCTAGTAGTAGTTCATGTTACTGTGACAATGGCCACCGAAGAGATCCACAAGATGTGGCAGTCCAGGCATGAAGGTTAAGTGTGCAGACCCTGCCTTCAGACTGCCTGAATTTGATTCCTGGGTCTGCCACTTATTGTCTGCGTGGTCCTAAGCACATCGCTTGATCTCTTTGTGCCTCAGTAGCCCCACCTATAAAATGAAAGCGATTTATCCTGATTCAATAAGCTATTTCAGATAAACGGCTTGAGCAGAAGCGAGCACTCTACTCACTGGCTGCTGCTATTGCTGTTTTCCTTATTAGCTAATCATGCCTGTGCTGCTTGCCTCGCAGGATAGAATCCCAGGGAAAAAACTGCAGTGGTGCCGAGGGCACTTCTTTAGGAGCCAGGAGCTCTGGATTCTGAACCTGTTCTGTCAATAACTCACTATGTGAGTTCAGAGACGTCACCCTTAATACCCTCAGCACATGCCAGCTGCAGCAATTTTTCCAGGTCCATTTACCCCAGTGGTAAATGTAGTTGGTGTAACAATATTTACTGAACACGTGTGGGCCAGATTGACCTGCTTAATCTCCTCCTACTCTTTATGCCTACACTACTGGGTAGACGCTTTTGTTATCTTCATTTTGCAAACTAGGAATTTAATGCTAAAGAGATTAAGGAAGAGTCACAAACCCAGGAAAAAAAAAAGCTGAGTTGAGATATGAACTCAGGGAGTCTGACTCTGGTTCACACACTTCACGGCTGTGCTTGAGCAAAGTTGTGTTAAAGCTGTGATTAAGGTCCCACTTATGGCCAGCTGGCCACCACTCTGCAGGATGGGAGTGGAGATGGTGAAACGTGGCATCCCCTCTCCACACTGATCGTGAAGAGAACTGTCAATTCTTGCACAGAAAAAGGAAGACGTGACCCCAAAGGAGGACTTTATTGCCATGGAGATCAAACTATCCCAACAAAAGGCTCCAGTTGGCCCAAGGAATTTTGTCTTATCAGGTAATGGAAATTGCTTTTAGTGGCAAGAATGAGCTCATTACAGATGCAGCTTGTGCTGATAATGATAATTTCCTGAGCAGTAAAATCACCTCTCTACCTCCCCCACCAACAGATGACACTCTAGAAATTTTAGGCTAGGGAGAAACAGAGGGATAAAGATTAAGGAAAAGATTTGCAATGCAGAACTGCTTACACAAAGGGAGTTCCAGATGTGCACAGTGGAACATGTGCACAACCATGAAGTTGTAGAAGAATTAGATACTATTAAAGAGCTGTTTACATTGCCTTTATTCAATTTGGTTACCTCTATCACTGGATTGTTGTTTTTTCTGGTTTTGTTTCAGTTTTACAGCTCAAGTTATCTCTTAAAAGTTGGTGCAAAATGAATTAGTCAGTGACTTAAATATTGATGCACCATAAGATCCCATGGATGGGAGTGAGATAAGGGCAGTTCCAAGGAGTCATTTCAATCCTCACACACCCTTAATTTCATGGGCAAGGACCCCCCAGTAACCTTGAGCACCTGGGAACTATCTGCAAACTGTTTTGGAGAGGGGACCAAACAGACATTTATTCCTGTCTCTCATTCCGGAGAGGCCAGCAGAGATGCAGCAGGCTAGGCCACCCCGCCCCAGCAGCAGAGAGATTGAGCGCCATGTTTCCATTCCAAGATTGTGAGTTTCAACTCTGCCAGCGTTTTAAGAACACGGGGAAAAAATCCAGACAGGTCACTGAACTTTGCCTCAGCCCTTGGAAGGGAATGCCAGCTATCTTCTATTGAGATGTGGCTTTTTTCTTTAAACATTATTATTATCTTTTTTTTTTTTTTTTTTTGAGATGGACTCTCACTCTGTTGCTCAGGCTGGAGTGCAAGGTGTGATCTTGGCTCACTGCAACCTCTGCCTCCCGAGTTCAAATGATCCTCCCACCTCAGCCTCCTGAGTTGCTGGGACAACAGGTGTGCACCACCATGCCTGGCTAATTTTTGTATTTTTAGTAGAGATGGGGTTCCACCATGTTGGCCAGACTAGTCTCAAACTCTTGACTTCAGGTGATCTGCCCGTCTGCACCTCCCAAAGCGCTGGGATTACAGGTGTGAGCCATCACACCTGGCGCTTCTTTAAATATTTAGTCTCTAAAATATTAAAACATCTTTTAATTGATTCAAATAGGGATTTTTTTTAATGATGTTTTTTCTTGATTATAAAAACAATACCTATTGGCTATGGAAAATTGAAAAAAGCATAAATAAGAAAATAGAAATAACCAATAGGATATTCATCCAAATAACCTATACTGCTATCATTATAGGTTAGTGCCCCCCACCCTTTTCTAAAAACAAAGCAGGATGATAGTGTGTATGTGTTTGTGTGTGTGAGTGATTCACACACAGGTCTGCTGCACTTGTACAGTTTTATGACCTACCTATTTCATGTACGGTATCCTAAGTATTTTGTACAACAGTATTCTTTCATCACATCATTTAAAAATAATGAAATGTGCTATAATCCTGAACCCTGTGGGGAAGGAGTTGTTATCTGATTTTGTGTGACAATCTCCCTTTACATACATTCCTGGTTGTTTTTCTGGACAAAGGTTCTTTACTGTTCCTGTGTTGGGGACCCACAGCTGTCTGGTGAAACTTGTGGGACTCTTGTCAGAACAATATTTCCAAATGTTTAAAGCAAAATATATAAGATTACAATGGAAATGATATTGAAATATTATCAAAATATTAAAAAGAACAAATTTATAAAACAGCCATTACTTTATTCTTATATTGAATAATAGTATGTGAGAGAGTAGATTTACTCCCTGTAAGAACCAACATGATTATAAAGAGATGAGCTTTAACATCATTCAAACTGCTTGCAGACAGAGTCACATGATAGAAAAATATCTGTGGCTGCCCTCAGGCTAAGGTGACAGGTCCTACAGTGGTTTGTGGCTTACATTCATCAAGGAAGGAAATACTAAATTTTGGCTTGAGGTTGGTGAAAACAACGATGTAACCTTTTTCTCATCAGAGTTCTCAGACCTCCTGACGTCTACCCATGGAACCGTGGGAGCCCAGGATGCCCAGGTGAAAACTCTTGCCTTGGAAAAAACCTCCCAGGGCCAGCTTGCTGCATTGTGTGGCTCTGCACGTTTCTGAGCAGATGACAATGGTCTCATTGTTCCATGAGCTGTTTTTTTATTTCTTCTGCAGGCAGGTATTTGCGGAGGGAGGTCAGGGTGCCTGATGGTGGCAGGAGGATGTCATCCAGTGTTATGGCTTGAACTGTGTCCCTAAAAAAAAAAAAAAAAATGTGAAAGTCCTAGTCTCCCATACTTTATGTGACTTATTTGGAACTAGAGTCATTGCAGGTGTAATAGATACAATGAGGTCACAGTGGAGTAATACATGCTCCTAATCCAGTGTGACTCATGTCCTTGAAATTTATGGACATTTTATTAAGAAGATAATAAGAATAAATACAATATGTAACAATAAAATGTAAGAAGATGGCTGTGTGAGGCAGAGAGGCACACGGGGGGCCTGGAGTTAGTACCAAGAAATGGCAGCAAAACACCACAAGCTAAGAATAGGCGAGGAAGGATTTCCCACGGGTTTCAGAGGAAGCAGGACCCTGCTAACACCCCAATTTTGGACTTCCAGGCTCCAGAACTGTGAGACAATAAATGTCTGCTGTCAGAAGCCACTCCATCTGTGGAACTCGGTTGAGGCAGCCCTATCACACTGATATAGCCAGGATCTGCCAGCTGGACTCCCCTGGGTAGGGACTGGGATTTTGGAAAACCAGGGCTGGTGTGGGTGTGGTGTCTGTGCCGCTGTCAGGAACATGCCACACCAGGACCCAGGTTAGAGGATTGGGCTATGTCTTCAGTGAAGATCTTGGCCTGGCTGCACAGTGTTACCTTGGGGGTTAGGAACCCTAGCTCATGGTCAACACAACCTGGAGAAAACCCGAACAAGAACCTTTAGCCTGTGGAGAAGCAGCCTCTTTATTCCCACATGATGATACAAGGTCTTTGTCATTAGTGAAATGCAACTGCCAACCACTCAGGATGCAGGTAGCAATTGAAAAATTCTTGTTATTACATTTCCTTATTGCTCATTGGGCATGATTCCAACATGAGAATGGCAGGTTTTGTGACCCCCACTTAAAGTTCACCTCTCCTTAGGAGACTCTACGCTTCTACCATTCTGCATACTTTGCTGAAGACAGTGGCTCTAGATAAATCTTCCCACTGCATGGTACATTTGGCCTCTGAGTACAGCCACATGTCAACGGAGTTCTGGGGTCCTCTCTCAGGGGCCTTCCAAGGGCAGGGCAACTTCCACCTAGAAGAGAAACCATTCGTGTGAGCTGCAGGCAGCTGGCCCAGCTGAGCAGAAAGGCCACTGCAAACATTTTATCCCTTTTTTAAAAAGTGGTAGGAAGGAAACAGAGAGTCCTCCCTCACCTGGAATAGAAAAATCGGGATATTTTGGCAGCAGCTCTTCATGCTGCAAAACTTTTGGAGAAGCAGCAGAAGGTTTTGTGGTGCTAACTCCATATGTTCTAAAACAAGAACAAAAGTCACAAAGTTATAAACCTTTTATTAAGAATATAATAAGAATAAATAGAATATAACAGAATAAATACAAATATATAACTACAAAATATAATAATATAATGTATGAACATGGTATGTTTATTTCCTTACAATTTATTCTAAAGGTAAAGCTCATCATCCTCATTTTGCAGAAGAGAAAACTGAGGCCATGAGAGACCTCCTATGCAGTGCCCTGGGGTCCCCTGCCTTCTCACTCCCTCAGCACACTTGGGCCTTAGGCCACTGCCAGGATGGTAATCCTGCTGGTTTTTACTCTCAACCCCTCCTTGCCAACCAGCAAAGACCACAGGTAGAGCTTCTGGGGAATGCTGAGCACAGGTCAGGAGCAGAGGGCAGCTGCCTACTGAGGAAGCCTTGAAACTGCAAATGAGGCACCTTCTCTAAGACAAATCACACACAGATAGTCCCAGGGCTGGGATGGGGACATCTAGTAAACTGTTGCCCTGGGTTTGCACTTCTCCCCTTTGATCCTGTGCCTGGGGTGAGGACCCAAGACAGACTCACTCTTCATATGGTTTCAGACGTGCTTTCTTGGCCCTCTCCACGATGTCCAGGAAGTCCTTGTAACAGTTTTTGCCCATGACAGTGTATCTCGTGCCACAGCCTAATTCGGTGACCCTGGCTCTCGGCAAGTAGCCTGCCCAGCCAGGGATCGGGGGCTCCTGGAGAGGTTTCTTTACATATTTGCATTCTGTAAAAAGACACCATGTTTCTTTAAGGCTTTGGAAAGCCACACAGTGGACGGTGCTCTTGAGTTAGCTGACACCCCAACAGTTAACCTACAGTGAACCCCTAGGCCTACAGATGCACTTGGCTGGTTGATTCTGCGGCCAGCCACCACTGACTAGTTGATTCTGTGGACCAGCCACCACTGATTGGTTGATTTTGCATGCCAGCCCCCACCACTGATTGGTTGATTCTGTGTGCCAGCCACTACTGATTGGTTGATTCTGCGTCATAGCCACCACTGATTGGTTGATTCTGCACGCCAGCCACCTTGATAGGGCCTTTACAAATGGTTTATGATTTAATCATCTCACAAACCCTAAGAGGTTGGTACCATTATTACCTCCACCATCTGGAGGAAGAGACTGGGACCTTAAAGAGGTTGAGAGACTTGGCCAAGGTCACACAGCCAGGAGGTGGTGGAGCTCAGATTCAAACCTGTCTCTGATTGCCAAGTCCTCACTCAAATAGATCCTGCTTCTCTCTCGGGTTAGGGAGAAACCATCAGACATCCCTGTGACAGCTTACATAAGGGAGGGAACCAAGAGAGGCATCCAGATCAGATGTGGCACCAGGAAGTGGCCATCAGGTCATGGCTCTGACTCCTGCTGACTGGGTGATCTTGAGCAAGATTCTCTGCCACAACTGCCTCCCACTTCTGCAAGAGCCAAATTAAGCCACTGAGTCCCAGAACTTCAGAGCTGGAAGGTACCCTAGAGAACATCTGGTGTGTCCTTCCCTGCTATGGATAAAAAAATCAAAACCCAGAGAGGGACAGCAAGCTGCCCTAGGTCACACAGCAAGTAGTTGCAGAGCTGGGCTAAATTCCAAACTCTTAGGCAGCTATTCTTCATAATCCTTGGAAAATTTCAAAGCATAGCAAACATGTAAATTACCACATATTCTTGAAAGGTTCCCATATAATTATAGCAATAACAATAAAGGCAATCAATCTATTACTTTTCTATGAGTCTTTAGATCTTTCAAATTATCTGCTTGTGATTGTCATTATATAATCATGTCATCTGTTGCTGTTGTTAACTCTAAAGCCCCTTCCCACCCAGCTAGTACTTGGAGGAGTTGGATTCAAATCCAGGTCTGACTTCAGAGTCCATTTGCTGACCCGAGCCAAGTGACATTACCTCTCAAGGCCTTACTTGCCCTATCTCTAAGGTGGGAATGAGTCTGGATCTCATAGAGGTGTTAAAGTGGTTAGCAAAATATCAGTGCCTGGCACAGAGAAAGCAACTAAAAAATGTTATCCACTGATCCAGAAGCTGAGACGTGAAAACTCATGACCCGCTTAGGGTCTCTTAGTTAGGACAAGCACCTTCCTCCCTAAACAGGGCTGTGCCCCCTCCCCTTGAAATGTATCTTTCTGGTCAACCACAGCAGTGGCTCATGCCTGTAATCCCAAAACTTTGGGAGGCCGAGGCAGGTGGACCACCTGAGGTCAGGAGTTCAAGACCAGCCTGGCCAACATGGTGAAACCCGATCTCTACTAAAAATACAAAAACTAGCCAGGCGTGGTGGCACACACCTGTAGTCCCAGCTACTTGGGAGGCTGAGGTGGGAGAACTGCTTGAACCCATGAGGTAGAGGTTGTGGTGAGCTGAGATTGTACTACTGCACTCCAGCCTGGGTGACACAGTGAGACTCCTTCAAAAATAAGAAGGAAAGAAGGAAGGGAAGGAGGGAGGGAGGGAAGGAGGGAGGGAGGGAAGGAGGAAGAGAAAGAAGTGTCTTTCTTACTTTATAAACGCTTCACATTTGGCACTGACCCCTAGGAGGCTAAGGCCGGAGAATTGGTTGCAGTGAGCTAAGATAGCACCAGGAGGCAGAGGTTGTAGTGAGCTGATATCTCACCACTGTACTCCAGCCTGGGTGACAGAGCAAGACTTTTTCAAGAAAGACAGACAGACAGACAGAGAGAGAGAGACAGAAAAAAATGTCTCTCTCCCACTTTAAGAAATGGATCCTTTGCATTTGGGGCTGACCCCTGGGATTTGGAATTGTGTGGGATTCTGGGCACTCTGGGACAGCTCAGCAGGCCTATGAGAATCTGCACAGGTGACCAGTGGTGAGGGAGATGGTTTCAGGGCACTGCTACCCAGGAGCAGAGGGTGGTACTGCCTATAGTACTGGTGCAGGTCCCGCAGGACAGTCTCCTCGGAGTTGACGGGCTTCAGTTTCGGGGCAGTGGCCACTGCACAGCAGAATTCCCGCAGCTGGTCTTTATAACGCTGCGTCTTCTCCTGGAAGGTTTTCACACAGTAGTTCATGTCATCCTCCCCGGGCATCCCTTGGCAGCTGAGGAACGGCACGAAGCCTGCAAGAGCCGAATGGAATCACAGCCTTCAGCAAGACTGGCCAGCAAGGAATTCAGAGCCTGCCTCAACTCCCCAGCATTTCAGCCCACCCCTTGGCTTTTCTTCCTCAGCCAACAACACTACATTTTTCCAAAGGCCATTAATACAAGCAGCGCTGTTGTTTCCACTGGGGCTGGGCCCTCCCAGGGCCGCAAAAAAATGACCTTGGAGCTGGAGAGGGACGGCCCATTTCAACAAAGGCGATGACAGTAATACTCTTTGATAGCAAAGCCCCTGATGTCAGCCTGATGGAAAGTGGGGAAAGCGTTTAATGGGCCCAAATGATAGTCTAAGGAGTAATTGAAATTATTCATCTTTTTAGAGAGAAAGCTTATTTTCCTCGACACTTCCCAAATGCAATTTGGGATCTTTCTTGCCGGACCATCAGGAAATTGCAGGCTTATTAAAAGCAGAGCCCTATTACACAAAAAGGTAAATTCATTATCTGCAGGTCCCACCCCCCCAGAACAATTTTTCACCATTTCCCACCAAGTAACATATAATCATTACAATTAGTATGGGTAAAACACAACTATTTATTTAAACTGGCGGCTGAATCCTAAGTACTGTAATATTGTCACAATAAAACCATTTTTTTTTTTTGAAGAACAAATGAGGAAAACTGGTTAAGAACTTGGTTTTAAACTACAAAATAAATAAATAAATCTCTCTCCTTATGGAAGTCTGACATTTTTGCCATGGTCCCCAGGAAAATAAAACCTGGCTTCAGAGCTGAAAGCAGAAATCCTTACCCCCTGAGCCCTATGATAACCCCTTCTGGAAGAATCTAATTACTAAACTAATCTTGACAGGGTTGGAAGTTTTCCAGGCATCGCCCAGTCTCCCCAGCCCTTGGACAATTAAAAGATATCCTAATATTATGAGGGAGACCGCAGAACCCTACAGTGGCACTTTGATCTGCTGAGGTTTGATATTAGTACATATACGCACACACATAAGCATACAGGCTACCTTGATTAGATCTTGCTGAAGACCAAGACATGTGAAATAGGTTATGTGTGCTGGCTCCTCTAATCTTCACAACAATCTTATGGGATCCCATGTAATGGGTTGAACTGTATCCTCCAAATAGATATATCCATATTCTAACCCCTGGTACCTGTGAATGTGCTCTTACATATATACAGGGACTTCTCAGATGTAATTAAGTTAAGGATCTACAAATGAGATCACCGTGGATTTACGGTGGGTTCTAACTCTAATGACTGATGGCCTTATAGATGAAAGCAGCAGACCTGAGACTCAGAGACAAGGGAATGTGAGAATGAAGAGTGACTGGAGAGATGCTGCCACAAGCCAAGAACACCAGGACCACCAGAAGCTGGAAGAGGCAAAGTGGGGGATCCTTCCCTAGCACCTTCAGAAAGAGCATGGCCCTGAGGATACCTCCATTTCAGACATCTAGCCTCAGAACTGTGAGGTAATCCATTTCCATTGCTTTAAACCACGTAGTTTGTGGTAATTTGTGGCAGTGGTCCTAGAAAACTAATACATCAATTTTATGAAATGTTGTACTTACCATAGAGAGGCAAATTATTTACAGTCTCATAGATAGTAGCCAAACAGAGATTGGAACCTCAGCTTGTCAGAACCCAAAGCCTATTCTCAACCAGCCAGTAGGACCAGGGTAAGTCTGGGCAACCCTGGAATATCTCCCAAGTACCACGCCTCCTAAAATAGCTGTATGGGAGAGCTGGGGGTCTGTGGGGACCACTGGGTTTGTCGCCCACAGGGATGTGACTTAGTAAGTTCTCAGTAGCCCAGAAGCCTGAAGAGGAATAGCTTCTAGGTAGGGCAACCAATTTTTCCTGGCTTGCCAAGAACTGAGGAGTTTCTCAAATGCAAGATTTTCAGTGTTAAGGAAAGTCCCAGGCAGTCCCAGGACAAAGACAGTTCCAGACAGGGCAGTTGGCCAGCCTTCCTTTAGGGGATGCAAAAAGGAGTGGAAGCATAAGAACAACTTTTGTGGGGGACTTGAGAAAACCAACTTTGGGAGGACAGGGCCTCAATGTATTCATGTGTCTATCCTCCAAATTCATTCAACAGCCATTAAGTGCTTCCTCTGCACATCAGGCCATGTTCTGGGAAATGTGGTCTAAGTTCTGACTCTCAGAACCCAGCCATCAGCCATCTTCAGCAATGGAATGCTCTCAATGCATATCTCAAAAGCTAGAATGCCTATACTGGTCCAGTTGGCTGCACAGACATGGATAGTGGGTCAAGGCAGGGACAGAGACCAGAAACAGGGTTCCCCTGCCAGGCACAGCTGCAGGGCACATCCATACTTACCACTATAGCCTGGTATGATTGGCAGTTTTCTCATGAAGGTCTTGGAAGGCTCCATGATTTCTCTCTGTTTGTGGAGGAAAGAGGGAATGAAATGGCCTCATCAAAAGTCACTGCCTTAAGGAATGGAAGTCACAAGCCCTTCACAAGTGAAAGAATGACCTTGCCAGTGGTTGGGCCTGAAAGGCAGCCCTACCATCTTACCCAAAGCCAGCAGACATAGATAACTTCAGTCACAAACCAATGACCTATCACCAAGGGTCCATCACCTTTTATGTTAACTTGGGTAACAGTGTACAGATAACACCCACCAGCGTCTCCTCTCCCTGGAAGCACCCTCCCCTCCATCCAACCAACAATCGTGAACTGTACTCATATTATGGGGGTGTGCAGGCCAAGAGAGATGAGGCCTGCACACCCCCGGACCCCCTTCTTGATCCAAGTGAAATCAGGTTGCAGTGGTGATGTTTTGCCAGCCCCATCACCCCTGGAACATCTGGCAATGTCCAGAGGGATATTTGGCGTCAGAAGTGGGTAATGGAAGCTACTGAATATCCTGCAATGCGCAGGAGCCTCCCCCCACCCCACCATCCGATACACATAACAAGGGAGAAGAAGTTCTGGCTTTAAGGGATCAGGAAATCCCAAAAGGCAGACATGGAGTCCAAGGGAGGTAAGCAGAGGCCACCCTTTACTTCAGGGTGCTCCACTGAAGCATCACTTTATGTGGATGCTGTTTCTGGAATAAGATACCTTCTCTCTTTGGGCATCACTGGTCATTCCCTCAAGTGGACTGAGGCGTTGCCAAGTCCTGCCCTGCTGATCCAGTTCATCTCTTTAAAGTAATGCCCTTGAGCCTGGAAGAAGGGGACTCAAAGTGGAGGAGAAAGCCACAGTCATGGCTTAGTCAGCAATGATGGGGTCGTTAAGGCAGTTCAGCCCCCGTCAGGCTGATGGCAGTGAGGACTGTGCCATGTCTAAGCCGGTCTAACCCCTGGCATCATGTGCCTGGCTCCTGGGAGGAAGCACTGGGCCTAGAGTCAGACAGACCTGGCTGTGAGACCACGTCCCACCCATACTGACCACCTGCTTACTCTTCTGAAAGCTTTACATACCCCATAATATAAATGCTATATTATACCCATTCCCCGATTTAAAAAGGCAACAGACATGGAACCCTGGCTATGCCCTTGCTGCTGAAGCAGAACCCCATTCTCCTTTCATCCCCACAGCTTCCCTAAAAATGAGTTCCTGTTGGAATTATCATTTTACAAATGAGAAAAATAGGTCACACAGAGGTTAGATAACTTGTTTCAGGGTTCCAGAGTGAAAGGGGATGTGAGCAGATGACCTCTAAACTCTCAGGGGCAGGATGGTTGCCCAAAAGCATCCGCTGGTATAACCCCACCCTGAGGCCTGCCTGGAGGAGGTGGGCAGGGAGGACGGTGGGGAGAGAGGTGGAGTCCTGAGACAGGGGGCTAGGAGGGGGTAGAAAGTACCAGCAGAACCCCTCCTACCCGCCCCTTCCAATCCCAACCCGGGGCTCACCTGGGCAGGCCTGGATCTACCCAGTGCCCACCTGTCCTCTGCCCAGGCTCCCTGCCTTCCACAAGGCCTTTGTGCGCTCACACCGTGGAGCACAAAGGCCCCACTCCCGCCAGCCTGCCCCTCCCCCACTCTTCCTGGGGCCCCACCTGGAAGGTAGATGAACTGAGTGAATTTGGGGCGCTTCCCTCAGCGCCCGGCACAGCCTGGGCCTCCTGGTGTGCAGTCGGGCATCTGCGCAGAGAACATCTGGCCTCGGGGCTGTTCTCTGCGCCTTGGTTGCCCCAGCCAGGGCAGGGATCCGCGGAGGGCTCTAGGTCAAAATGGGCGTTTTTGCGAGTGTAGACACTGCGGCGGCTGGGCCTGGAAGTCTGGGTGGGGAAACGGTTGTGCGGGAACAGGCAGGAGGGTGCAGTGCTTCGAAGCTGCGAGGGGGGCAGGCAGCAGTGGGCGGGAGGAGGCGAGGCCTGGGGGCCCTGGCTCCTCCTGCGCGGGAGCTTCCTGGGCCTGGCAGCCCCTCCCTCACGTCCCCTGTTAGGAGAGGTGGCTTTGCAGGTGGCCAGGACAGGTGAAGGCAGAGAGAAGAGTCTGTGCACCTGGGGAAGGTGAGTCATCCTTCTTTCTAATCATCCTTAGGGGGCATCCAGCCTTCCTCTCATTGGATTGAAACCCACAAAGATGTCCGCCCTGTGAAACAGATTTGCGGGGAATGGGGAGTGGGGTGTCGGCCGCGCACTGGCCGCTCAGTTTACTGAAATGGATGCTGAAGCTGCGAATTCCAGCTTGTTTGCTGCACCTCCCGGCCTTCCCTACCTCTGCTTTTCTGAGAATTGAACTGCAAATGGAGGCTGCTGGAGCCAACCACCACTTATACGTCTCTTTTACCCCCCATTTAGAACTTACCTTGGGCCATCTGGAAGCTTTCAGAGCCAACTCTGGAGGATGACCCAGGTGTAGGCTCTGGACACAGCCAGTTTCATGAGACACGAGACGGCTGGGATGCCCAGGGTGAGAGCCCCGCCGGGCCTTCTGCATGTTTTAATGACTTTCATTTGGGGTGCAGTGTGTTGGCAGTGGTCACCCTGCTTATTTGCCCTCCCTCTGGCTAAATCACTTTCTTCTAGAGAAAAGGGACTCTGTGCACACTGATGGGGGCCTTGGTTCCCAGCAAACAAAGGGCCTCCTAGTCTTGTTAGAATCACTTAATAAAACTCACAGCACCTGGAAAAAACGAAAAATCTCTCTTCACCACCTGAGATGGGTAGAGAGGGAGGTTAGTACTGATGTGTCCATCACGCAGTTTACAAACCCAGAATGGGGGGAAAAATCTGGGCCACATAAGATTCAGAGTTTTTGCTTTATTAGACGTCTGTGAAGACAAGAGAGTTTGCAGACACAATCCTGTCTGTGGTGAACTGCTGCAAAGTTCTGTGAAGTTTGAATTTATCTTGTAGTGAAAGAGACCCCAATAGCTGATATTTTAGAATACTGGTCCATATTTCAAGCAGATGAGAGGTGTGACATTATGGCCAACAACTTTTATACTAGTCATCCACTTAAGCCATTTCCCAGCATACATATGCAGCTTAATCACAGATATTACATCTCTACAATGTGAAATTCGATCTTTGACTAATAATGCATTTTGACTCCTGTTTATATTGGTGCATGCGATTCTTTGCCACCTTGGCAATTAACCAGACCTGGACTCTAAAAGCTAAACTTGATCTAAATAACATTCTAAGGGTAAGGCAGCCTCTATAATCTGGACTAAGCCATTATTTTGCAAAAACAGCTGTATGGTTCCTCCTCTCTCCCCTCCTGCCTGTAACGTGTCTGTTATTCAGCATTCATTAGTGCTTACTGTGTACGGAAAGGGCGGTTACGAAGGAAAGCCCTGGTGATTCTGCTTCCAAGAAACGTGACTATCAGGTAAGATGTCTTGGACAATTGAGCAATGGGTCAAGATAACAGGCCTTGTAGATACTTTCTAAGATTTGAAAATGTGTTCAAGTGTACTTATCCAGTGCTCTTATTCTAGAATATTCCAGTGGGGGTAGGGAAGGAGGGATGGATTTGGGGGTTTTGTTTAAGGACTCTGACTACTGGGGCTGCAGCCCTGTGGCCAGAAGATAAAATTATCACCCTCTCTGCCAACACTGCAGATTTCTATCAGCTCATTTAAGAGAAACAGTACACAGGGAGATAGCATTACTGCAAGGCAGGAAAGGCTTTACATCAGCCCACAAAAGAGGGGTTTGACCATGGTACACTTAACACTTAACCCAGCAGAAAAGTTGGGCTTATGAACCACTTGATTCCATTCTTTGACCCTAGCATCCTGAAAACATCCCACACAGTGGACCACGCTTTGCCCTCGGAGTGACTGCTCTGTCCCAGAAGGAGGGGTCAATGACCCCTCAGGATGCATAGGGTTTTCTTAGGGTGTTCTGTACAGTCACATTGCTTACAGAACCAGAATGTTCAGCTCTCAAAGTCTGCACAGGAGAATGGGCAGAATCTGCTCCTTTCAATGGAATCTGTGACTCTTTGGGAAGGGTGTGCATGGAGAAGGGTCAGATGAGGCTCCTGATCCAGGCGGTCCATGTGTGTTCAGTGTATTCTGACCCTAGGCACCTCTGTCTATGGCTCAGTCTTTCGTACAAAGTCCACAGCTTGGCATCTGCACAAAATGATGCTTAATAAGCATAATTAAGAAATGAAACTGTGGAAAATTAAGGACAGTAACAAAAGTATCATCAACAAAAATCAAAGAGCAATTTCCTCTTTTTTAAACAAGAAAAGCACGTTGTAAAAACAAAGATTCTGTACAAGATTCTAATATTATATGTACATAAAATTATATTACTCATAACTACATTGAAAAGTCTTATTTGCAGAATATGGCTGGCAACAAAGACCCATACCATTTAGCATTTAAAGCAGGGCAGGTAGCAAGAGAACACTAGCAAACACACCTGCGTGCCTGGATACATAACCCTGCTACTAAGTTATGTGAGTAGCACTCTCTAGTTCAGTGATTTGTTCGCATTTCACATTCTAGTAGGGAATTCTGCAGCAGGCAATGTGAAAAAGAAGACATGGTCAAATGAAATGTGAAATGCTATTTAAAATCTGCATATTGGCTATGATAATGGGTTTGTGAATCCAAGTTGCATTGGAAGTTCACTCGTTCTCCATTCATTATGCATGCCTCCAGTGATTTAATGAATTCCAGCAGGTGGAAAAGACAGCTTTGAACAGATCAGACGAGCTGTGAGTCAGATTCTTAATTCTTTTGCCTCATTTGGCTCCTGAATGTTGCAGAAAACTGGTTTTGTACAGTGGGAAAGGAGAGAGTGAAAACCCTCCAGTTAGTTCCTCTGCTCCATTCTTAGTGTCCCTTTCTTGCAATTCTTTCCTCCCCTGGCCTTCCTGTGAGGTTTAAAAGTGCCATCTTCAAGCCAGGCAGAACCCTAACCCCTTTTACCAAGAGGGCAAGGTATGGGGTCACCTTCACATGCAAGCCCTCTTCCTAAAAGAACCCAATGAGGACAGTTGCACACTATGGGCTATGGTCTGTGTGTGACCTTCAACAAAACCTCAAGTTAGTATTTCTCAAATTTCAGTTGAATCAGGATGCGGTACACACTACAAATGCAGATTCTGGTGCCCTGCTCCAAGAGTCGGCCTCAGTTAAAAAAGGCTGGGATCCAGGAACCTGTTTTGAACACGCACCCAGGCAATTCTGATGCAGGCGAGCCACAGACCTGCTGTGAAAAAAACTGACTTAATCTGTCAAGTATAGATCTACAAATTATTTTTAAAGAGACTCGAAAAACTGAAGCTACTAATGAAACATTGCAAAGCACAGATTCTCTTCCCAAATTTCACCAGTGTATCCCTTTCCAAATGTGGGACTAAACGGCCAAAACTCTTAGGGAGATGAAGGTGAGTGGGAAGGAGGAGGGGGTTAACTTAAAATCTGTCTGCTCTTCAAGGTGAGAAGCTCTTCTGGATTTCTGAGCTTGGTGATGCAAACAAGAAAAATGGCAACCTCATTTTCTTACCTAGAATTCCTACTAAGGTTCACTATAATTATGAACTCAGAAATCAGGTCTTGGCATACTGGAAATTTATATCCCAGAAAAATAATTTTGGGATACGTCAGTAACTCTTTACTGTCTATTTCCATCATGGCAAGTTTTCACCTGCTAAGAATGTGAGGTATCAGCTCTCCTACTCGCAAAAGCCCTAGTGGATTACTCAAGGCTACAGTTATTCTTCCCTGAACCTCCTTGCTATTTAAATTATATGAGAACCTAAAACAGTGCCCAGTGTGGGCAACCTTCTATCACCAGCTAAAAACATTCCCAATTCCCACTGACACACCACTTTTAATCACATGATGATGAAAAGAAACGAACTGCGGATAGGTGCCATTTTATACTAACCACCATCCCAAAAATTTCAAAAGAGAAGACTCAGATGAAGATCTCCTGACTCAAAGATCTCATTTTAAATCTAGAAAGACAGCAATAGGGCATGCTAATTCTACCTAACAGAGATCTGTTCAAAGCTGAGCAACCACCGCTGCAGAAATGAACTGATTCCCTTCTCCATGGCTGTTTCACCACTTTTGTACCTATGAAAACTAACTGCTCTTCCAGGATCCTTTAATTTTCTATGCCTAAACCTTAATCTTAATTTCTGTTTTTCCAACTCCAGTGTGCCCTCAAAACTCACTATTTCCAGCCCTAATTATTCTCATTTTCCCTGCTGAAATTCACATGGGCAATGGTGAGGGTCAAGGTTAGGGAAAAAACCATCAAGGTTGAGGTCAGCAGATGCAGATAAGTTGAGTCCAAGGGGGCAGGCAGTGGAGCGGGAGAGTTAGTAATTTAAGAAGTCGATCCCAACTTTGACACTCTTCGAAGTGGCTATATCAATAGCTGTGGCTTTGATCTCGGTGTCCCCGAACTGCATGAGGGTCTGGATCTCCCTCCGGGCAGGCACCGCAGTGCCACTGGTCCCTGTGAGATCCAGGCGGAGCGTGCCACACTTCTTCACCCCGGGATC